TCGTTGGAAATTTCCGATGGAATTTCAATCCATCAGAAAATATACCATTTTCGACGAATTTTCCGTTAGAAATGGTATATTTTCCGAAGGATTAAAATTTTGTCAAAAATTTCCGACCGAAATGAATTCCGTAAGATGTTTGCAACAGAATTTAACCACCTTTCCGATAGAATTTAGTTAAAAAAAATCAATTCCGACCGAAATTAGGGAGTAATAGACATTTTTTTTATCATCAAGTTTAAAGATTACAATTCAATTCAAACACACCAACAATTAAATTCCTCATCAAAATTAAAAATTCTTAAATTCAAGTAATTTAATATCACTTATTAAAAAAAAATTAATATCAAAATAAAAAATATCAAAAAATAAGGACATTGTAGACACCCAAATGTGTCTCCCAAAACCGAACCCAATGATGAATACCTTTCACGTCATTAGATTATCGAACAAAGTGAAAGTATGGAAAGTCTAAAGATGAGGATGTTTTTATTAAAATATTTCTATTTCTGTTTTCTAAAATTTTTCTTTTCTTACTCCTATTTATGAAAAATAGCCATTCTAATTTGGTTTGGTCCATAATAAGGGTCCAATAATAGTGTTATTGGATTGGGCTCGAAAAGAGCTTTCCAATGATATATTATAAGCCCAATTCCGATGACTTATGAGGAAGTTATGGATTAAATTAGATTAGGCCCAATGATTTTTAATGTGTCCCAGTGATCTAGAGGATGGCCTATTATTTATATTTTAAAGATGTTTTATTTAGAATAAAATATATTAAATCTGATTTCAAAAACTGCTCGTACGCTTAATTACCTGCAACCGGTGTTAAAGGTAATTACGCGTGGGAAACCGCATTGATTTTTGGACCTGCGCGAGACGATAGAGTCGTCGCCTAGCGCTGACCTTCGTCGCCTGACGACGAGCTTGTCGTCTAGTGCTGGCTCCTTTCGTTTACGACAAGAGGTATTTTATTCAGAATATGATTTTCGTCGATCCCGTGCTATTTTTCTTATAAATAGGAGTCGTATCTCCTTGTTTTAAAATCATCAACACCCAGAATTCTCATCTCTATCTCTCTAAAAGCTAGAAGCTTTCTCTCTCTCTCTCTTCTTTTTCTAAACCTTCCCTCTCACAAAATTCTTCATACATTAGCTTTAGAAACACCTAGCCAAGTTCGAATATTTCTGAGGGTTTGGTCCCAAATCCCTATTTCTATTCTTTGATTTAATTGTTTTCTTATTATTTTCCTTGAAATTACTAACGTATGTATTTTGTTAATAGAAAAAGATACGAGGCATCGAAGTAAGTACTTTAATTGTTTTATTAATCTTTTGATATAGAAATCATGCTTAGATTATTTTATTGATTCTTAGTATCATGTTAGGATGTTTTATTGCTTCCTAGTATCATGTTTAGGGTAATAACTAAAAGTTCTAATACCAAGTATGATGATGCTTCGTACTTCTTTCCTAATATCATGTTAGTTTCATGTTAGGGCTAAAGCTTTAATCTTTATTACTTAGTGACATACTAGGGTTTGTTATTAATCTTGTTAGTATCATGCCTAGGATCTTGCTATTATTATTATTATTATTATTATTATTATTATTATTATTATTATTATTATTATTATTATTATTATTATTATTATACTTTAACATGATTATGATAATTATGATTATAATTATGATGATTATTATTATGTTGCTTGATTATTGTTATTACTTGATCACGCCTTTTATGCATATTTAAAGGGAATTTGGTACTTGAAATCACGCTTAATAAGATAATTAATAATCTTGTTTAGGGTAATATGATTATAATTCAAGTGAAAGCCAATAATAGATTTGTTTGTGCATTAATATTCAATCAACATAGTTAAACAGGTTTAGGGTAAACCTATCGATTGCATGTTAGTCAGAAAGCACACATGAATACGAGAAGAATAAAGTAGAGGCCTATTATCAGGCAGGTTCAGTATATTTTAGGGATTTGTACTTTCATCCCCGAATTTCCAGTCATGGTTCCAGGCCTATTGGAGTTAACGATCTCCTAAATTGTTAAGGAATGTAACCTTCACCCTGTGAACGGTTTACAAGTTCCTAAAACCTATTGGTGACTCTTTTACTCTAGCTTCCTTCCCTTTGGACGCCACCATACTTTAGTGTATGATCACAAAGGGGCTCAAGTGTGGGATGGCTTGAAATATTCCCTACAGACATCTTCAATGTATTTAGGCAGGATTCATGAGAAATTAACACGTGTACATTTTGGAGAAAGTGATAATGTTAGCGGTTGTTACTTTAGTATTAGTTACTAGATTAGTTCCCGTGCGATGCACGGATATAATGAAAAAAGAAAGTTATATAAAACAATGCTCCATAATAAAACATAACCTAATTTTTCATTGGGTAAATGGTTTCCAAAAGGATTGTTAAAAAAAATTGTGAAGAGTTTAATGTATAATATTCTGTATGAAATTATTTTGTAGTTAATATTTAGTTTTTTGCATTAAAAAAATGTGAAAGTAAAACAAAGTTTAGGTGGGAAAAAATTGAAAGAGAAGCTGACACGTATACAATGTGGATAAATTAATGATGTAGTTGTTGCTACTTTAGTATTAATTACTAGTTTTGGCCCGTGCAATGCACGGATTTATAAAGAATGATATAATAATAGTAATTGAAAGTAACTGACTTGTGTAACACTTTTATTAAAAAAAATTGAATTATTAATGTATGTCATTTAAATTTTTTAATAGAATTTAAAAAAAAATAGAGCATTTTGGAGGGGAATTTTTTTAACAAAATCATGCCAAGTGTCTCCTCCGCTGATTACTTTAGTATATAGTATAGATAGATAGATACTACGTTGTAATTATTTATATTAGTAAATGTAATACGTAAATTTTTACAACCAAAAATATAAAAAATAATTAGTAAAAAAACAAATATCAATCGTATACCAATTCTTCCTCCAAAAGTATTTGCTTAAGCGTTCAAAATTTTGAAGTTTTCACACATAAAATAAAATTGCTTATCAAATGCACTTGTCATAATTCCCTATTAGAATAATAATTTGGGGGTTTTGTTCATTCAAAAACATAATTTCAATTATTAAGATAGATATATTTTTTTCAAAAATGAAAGGATATTATCTTATTTAGAAAATAATAATTAAAAAAAGTACAATGTTGTACAAAGATTCAAAACTAGGTCCTCTAAACACAAGCCCAATCCACTTAACTATGTAATCAAAACAAACCACGACTGCACCATCTTATTAATTAATATAGTTATTACTGCAACAACATATATACACTATAAAACCAAATTTGTTATAAAGTGGGGGGACAACTGTCCCCCCTTGTCCTAGTTTAGTTCTGCCAGTGCTTTTATAAGTACTTCTGTCTAAGCGTAAAGGTTTTGGTGATGATGATGAATAAAAGAAAACTTCAACTAATGCGATTTCTCTAAGTGTTTAACAAGAACATGTGAAGTTGACTTTATAAGTTGACGACTCCTATAAAGACTCAAGGAGATCCAAGGGAAAGTCAAAGATAATAGAAGAACATCTCTTCATTGGAAATAGCTGTGATCCCTAACAAGAACACGAAGAGAAGTTCCCTAACAGGAACTTGACAAGATTAGCTTGGATTGCGTTGAAGACAACTAGTTCCACAAGTATAATTGTAATTAATTTGCGAGTTCTAGCAAGGAGCTAGAGAGTTGAAAATAGCAGAAACTCAGTCATGGTCTGCGTAGAGCCCAAGTATTCTTACAATACAGTGATCGATGAGATTATATAGCTATAAAACAAAGGTCTTTTTTGTTAAGTTTATTTTTACTAGGATTATTGTAAATATGTTAGATTTATCCATGAAATCTATTAGAAGCGTGGCAAAGCTTGGTAAGCGTGGCAAAGCTTGGTAAGCTTTTAAATATGAAAAGTTTTATAAAAGATAAGTTTTAATTTTAAGAAAAGATCTTCAAGAGTTTTTATCTTATAAAATCTAGTTTTACAAAATAAATAATCTTTTCTAAAATTATATCTTTGTTAAGTTTTCCAAAAGATTTTCTTCTAAAGATTTATTTTAGTGTTGTGCTTATGAAAAGACAATTTAATGATTTCTTTCTTTTGAAAACCCTACTTTACATACGAGTAATTCTTGTACTTCCTCCGTTAATGGTTAATTGCAGCAAAGGAATATTTTATATCTCACAAATAATACCCCTTTGTTGCAATTAACCATTAACGGAGGAAGTATATAAAATAGAGATCATAATTTGCATAACTCGTGAGTTTTTTCGTGAAAAATCTGAAGAGTGCTTAAAGAGTAACTTTGCCAAGTCTAATGCTTTGTCATATGAGTTTCGGATTTCATGTGTAGCTTTCCAATCACATATTAGAGTCAAGGGTTGTATTGTTTTGGTATTGGGTGAGTGATTAGCATATTGCATACAGTTTGCAGGTTTAGGTTGAAGCTGAGTTGTGAGTACTCTGGGAATACTGAGTGAATCTAAATTTGGGACTTAGGTTGGTAGAATAGGGTTCTATTGTGTAGCAAGTTCAGTCTGGAACTTGTGAGGAAAGGTATGTGCTTAATAGGTTGTAACTAGGTGTGTTCCCTATTATAGTGGATTGATTTTGTCTGAAATCCCTTGAAGGGTCGAGATTTTACTTGTAATTGGGTCGTGGAACGTTTCCTCGTAAAAATCCTATGTGCATTCCAAGTTCCTTTATTATTATGTTTTTAACTCCGCAAAAATAGTCACTAGGAACTCATTTACAATTCACCCCCTCTTGTAGAGTTCGTCCCAACTAACGACTTCGTAATAACATATATTTCTTACGTAGTATTATTTTAGAATTTAATTGGTTTTTTGTAACTTTACTTTAATTTCACCTCATTAATACAATATTATTTCAATTCAAAAAAAAAAAAAGTAAATAAATTCTGACTTTGAACTTAAAAAACACAACTATTGCTTTTAGAATTCTAGCTAAATTCACATTCAGTCTTCCTGTAATTGAGATAGCAAGGCAAAGTGAAGCCTTTGACCCTCATATTGTGCATTTGCAATAAAAGGCCGCGCCTTAGCCTTCCATATAAGATTTTACTCTGTTTTCTTTTTACGCTAAAGTAAAGAAAAGATCGATATCTAGATATATAAACAATACAAATACGAGTACTATACAATCCATACATCACACTTGCTTAAAAATTACAGACAAACATCAACCTTGTCAAACTCCACAGCGACAGTTTCATCTCGGTCTCTGATAGATTTGAGCTTGCTATCATCTCCTTGTATGTAAGCATCTAAAAAGGCAACAATCACCCCTCCAACAAACTTTCTCATAGGCTCTCTACATTTTCCATTCTTACACAAACAATAAGTAGTAATTCCCCTGACTCCCTTAGTATCATTATCTAGCACGTCGAGATGACCATAGTCTTTTACAAGAAAATACCAAGCAGGACTTTGGCATTCCTCGAAAAAATTCTCATGGTTTACTCCTTTCGGAGCACAAGGAGGGAACAAAGGGTTCTTCTTTATTTCACCCAAACCCGAACCAATCACAAGCACAGGCATTCCATTAAGGTCAAAAGATTGTGGTACGTATGTTAAAACTGGAGGCGGTGTTTGGTTTCCTTTTCCCATTCCATCAACTGGGTCTATGCCTATCAAAGCTGATATTTTGAGAGGAGATGCTGTTATTTTGTTTAATGCTAGTGCAAATGCTACCTTGCCTCCGCGACTATGGCCTGAAAGTGCTAGCTTGTGTAGGTTTGGTTGTACATTCGATGGAAGTACGTCTTTTAATCCTTCTGATAACCAGTTTATAACTGCAGCTGTGGCTTCTATTTCGTCTTTTGAGTCTGGTCCAGCGACGGAATATAGCTATAGATGTGAACAAACATAAATGAATTAGGATGCCATGAATATAGTAGAACTATTTGAATAGGAGTAGGAAACAAACTTGTGAATCTATATTTGTCTAAATAGTAGTATAATAAACCCAGAGTAACATTTGGATTGATGCAAGATTGAAATGGTCCATTACCATATTAGTACTACTTCCTCCGTTCTTTTTTACTTGACCCGCTTTGACTTTTACACTATTCACCACCCCTCCTTTGACCGTGTTTTTGTGAATAATATGTAAGGAAAAACATATTTATGTTGATAATTTTGAACTCGTCTCAATAAGTACTATTATAATATATAACTTTGATATTTTTTAATTATGGAGAATTAAAGTTATTGACCGTTAAAGTTTTGTATTGGCAAGCGTGATAAAAGAAACATGTCAAGTAAAAAAGAACAGAGGAAGTATAATAGATAATAAACAGTATTTGGGAAGAATAAAAATTTAATTTGGGATAAACTAACATTACCATGCGATTTAAGTCATTTAACATTTGTTGATTTTTATTTAATTTTTTTTTAATCTCATATTGCATATAAATTCTTCTCATTTCTTTCAAGCATTTATTGTGACTAATCAAATGGGCCATTAAAGTCTATAAATTTAGCTTTCACTTCTTTAAGTTTTAAATTTGTAATGCCAGGTTTTCTTGGTTGTGGGTTGAGGTTCTTAGGTCCAGTTTTGTTCACCTTAAAAATATAATATTGAGTAAAAATAATTTGAGTTCAGTAAAAAGAAGTTCAGTTTAGTAAAATTAATTTCAGTTTAGTAAAAATAATTTTAGTTTAGTAAAAATAAGTTCAGTTCAGTAAAATTATAATAGAAAATTAGTAAAAATAATTTTAGTTCAGTAAAATTAATTTAAGTTCAGTAAAAATAATTTAAGTTCAACAAATATAATTTTGTTTCCGTAAAAATAATTTCAGATTCAGCAAAAAATAAGGTAAAGTAAAGAATTAAAGATATCAAATATTAAAGAATGTTAATTATGATAAGATTTCAGTTGACTCTATAGTCTATACGTTTAGAAATTAGGACATACGAGTAATATCATGTTCTTTTTACTCTGTTTTTGTTATTGAAACGATATAAAGGTTTTTTTTTTTCTTTTTTGAATTATTTTTCTCCAATAAGATGCAAAAAACAATATCATCAATTTTAATATTCATGGGAATACTTAAAACCCCTAAACAAACATGAACCTACTTGGACAATGCTACAATGCAACACTTGCCTTTTTTGTTGATTCATGAATATTTGCAATGCTTTCTATTTTACTGGCCACAATTATTTCATTTTGCACTACTATGTAATTAATTTATCTTGCACAAACAATTTGATAGATATTATAGGATTATTATAATATTTGTCGTAGAGTGGGATATATTTGTATATATTTGTGATATAGTTTATATTCTTATCGTACTAGGTTTCCTAACATGATTAGGACTAGTATTGTAACACTATATATATGATTCAATGGTACACACTCCAACCCAAGGAGTTTTCCAGAAATGTAACATGGTACCATAACCTAGATTTTTTGAGGGTTCCACAAAATTAATTTCTTTCCTAAAAAAATCTGATCCTCTCTTTCTTCCGCATAATCTAATCTCTCGTGGTTAATTCATCACTTAAATTTGCTACCTTTTTTGGTCCACTTTGCTGCATCATCAAGCCTCTTTAATTAATTTTCTTTTGGTTTACAGTAGCATATTGTTTGGGTTTCCTTAGCAATGGCCAAGGATGATGATCAACCACCCACACCTCCTCCTCCTCCACCCTCTAATGACTACCACCCTGCTAATTCCATTAGCAATATCAAGAATGAGGTTCCAGAAATTCTTGATCATGAAAAAGGGAATTATGGTAGTTGGGTTGAACTTTTCGAAATTCATTGTCACTCCTACAATGTTATCGACCATATAGATCTTAAATCACCCCGTCCTACGGACCTCACAACGGCGCAGTGGAACCGTCTTGTTTCAATTATGAAAAAGTGGATTTATAACACAATTTATGCGGACTTACGAAGCACGGTGTTGTACAAAAATGCTACGGCACAAGAAACTTGGGATAGGCTCGCCAATATTTTTCAAGATAATGGTGAAATTCGTGCAATTTATCTCGAAAAGCAGTTTAACAATCTTTTTGTTGAAAATTTCCCAGATGTGTCTTCTTACTGTCAGAAATTGAAGGAACTCATAGATCAACTAGCTAATGTTGGTCAGCCCGTGTCTGAGAGAACCTTGGTTTTACGTCTTTGTGCAGGTTTAATTGACTCCGACTATGATGGAGTGGCTCAATCTATCACTCAAATTCGACCTCTTCCTGGATTTGATGAAGCAAGATCCCGAATTCTCTTAGAAGAGTCCCGCAAATCCGCAAAAGACAACTCCGGGCAAGCTTTTGTGGCACAAGAGAGCAGCACCACCACCACCACGGCGGCCGGCCAGCAGCAGCAGCCGCCGCAACAGTAAGGCAGGGGTGGTGGTGGAAGTGGTCGTGGCAATAAAGGGCGTGGTGGCAAGTCCAAACCCAAAGGAAGGGGGTGTGGACAGCAACAACAACAGCATCAGGCCCAAGCCCAGTCCACCCCTCCTAACCAAGCAAGCCTAAGTCAGCAGCAGCTATGGGCCAGCTTCCAAAAGTGGGCTCAGCAATTAACTTGGGCCAGGCTGCCAGCTCCTTTTCCAGTTCAGCAGCAACAACAGTTCGTCCTTGGACAGCCAGGCCACAACAGGCTTACACGGCCCAATATGGGCAGCCCATGACTCCCACGGATTTGGCAGCATCTTTCTCCACAATGACACTTCCAAATCCCGACAATCAGTGGTACGTGGATTCGGGTGCCACATCTCACATGACGAACAACGCTGGTAATCTCTTACCCCTGTTTAATTTAAGCACTAAAAATCATATTTTAGTTGGTAATGGTCATCGTATTCCAGTAACACGTTATGGTCATGGCTCCCTTCCCCATCCTAAAGCACCTCTCATCCTTTGTGATGTCCTCCTTGCACCTCAACTCATAAAGAACCTTATTTCAGTTCGTAAATTTACCACTGATAATTCTGTGTCTATTGAGTTTGATCCTTTTGGTTTTTCTGTGAAGGATCTTTGTACGGGGACAATAATAACGAGATGTGATAGTTCAAGAGACTTATATCCAGTCAAAACCACAAACTCCACTCCATCAACCTGTCTTGCTACCTCACTCACTGCTGTTTCACCATCTACTTGGCATAGTCGTCTAGGACATCCTGGAGCTCAAGTTTTTAGGTTTCTAAAGTCTAAAAATCATATTTCTTGTGATAAGGAGCATGACTCCCAGTTTTACAAATCTTGTTAATTAGGAAAACATACTCGACTCCCTTTTGAGAATTCTAATAATATTACTATTTGTGCTTTTAATATTAGACATGCCGATTTATGGACTTCTCCTGTTCGTAGTTCTCAAGGTCACAAATATTATTTAGTCTTATTAGATGATCATACTCACTTTGTGTGGACCATTCCATTAAAATACAAATCTCAAGCTTTTCAATCCTTTATCAATTTTCGGAAATATGTTGAAACCCAATTTGAACGACAAATTAAATCTTTTAAATGTGATCATGGTAGGGAATTTGATAATGACCCTTTTAAGCAAAAATGTATTGACCATGGAATGATTTTCCGTTTTTCTTGTCCACACACTTCCTCACAAAATGGCAAAGCCGAGCGTATGATTCGCACTCTTAATAATATTAAGCGTACTATACTTTTTCATGCGTCTCTCCCTCCCTCGTATTGGTTTTATGCTCTTGAAACGGCCACTTACCTTCTAAATATTTTGCCAACAAAAGCCCTTAAAAACAATACTCCTGCTTTAGCCTTGTTTGGAAAAACTCCTGCATATGATCACATTCGTGTCTTTGGGTGTCTTTGTTTTCCTACTTTATCAGCCACAGCTCCACACAAATTAGCTCCTCGATCTACACCATGTGTGTTCTTGGGTTATCCTATTGACCATAGAGGGTATCAGTGTCTTGATCTCACCACAAATAAAATAATCATATCGCGTCATGTCATTTTTTATGAAGCGACTTTCCCATTCCGAAATATCGCTCAATTTCGTAGCCAAGATTATGATTTTTTAGGTGATGATTCCCCTTCCCGGCCCTCTTTTGTTGCACCCCACTCTTCACACCCCGCAACAACAAAACCCACACACACCCCACCAACAAAATGGCCCAGCCATTTCTGCCAACCCACAAACCAGCCCAGGAGGTCCTGCCAGCCCCCCTCAACACGGCCCAGTAACGCAGATAACCCACAAAACATCCCTGCCAGCCAAACTCCCCTGCCTAGCAGCCAATCCAGCAGCCTACACCGCAGGCAGGCTGCGGCAGCCCAGCGTCAGCCGCGGGTAGCTCGCGGACCCCACTGCCCTCACCACCCTTGGCCAGCAGTGCCACCACACCCACCCATGATTACTCCCCGCCACCTATGCGAGGCATTCCGCCCATACAACCCACTCGACCACCACCTTCTTCACCCCGAGTCACCCGTAGTCAACGGAGAATTTTTAAGCCCAATCCGAAACATTGCAACCTTACCGTTCAACCTTCGGGTCCCCACCATCATAAATCACCCCTTCCAAAGTCCTATAAACAAGATTTAAATGACCATAACTGGAATGCGGCGATGAATGATGAATATAGTGCTTTAATTAAGACAGGGACATGGGAATTGGTGCCTAGGCCTACGGGAGTGAATATTGTTAATTGTATGTGGCTCTTTAAACATAAATACAAGTCTAATTATGACCTTGAAAGGCACAAAGCTCATCTTGTATGTGATGGCAGGTCGCAGGAAATTGGTGTGGATTGTGATGAGACTTTTAGTCCGGTAGTTAAACCGGCCACTATTCGTACAGTTCTTAGCTTAGCCTTGGCTAGACAGTGGTCGATACATCAACTAGATGTCATAAATTCCTACTTACATGATGACTTACAAGAAACTGTTTACATGCATCAACCTCCGGGTTTTCTTGATCAGAGAGCGCCCAATCAGGTTTGTCGTCTTCGCAACGCTCTCTATGGTTTAAAGCAAGCTCCCAGAGCTTGGTACCAACGCTTTGCAAATTTTCTTATTAAGTTGGGTTTTGTCATTTCTAAGAGTGACACTTCTCTCTTCACAATCCGGCAGGGTGATGATATGGCATATTTGCTTCTTTATGATGATGATATTATATTAGCTACCTCATCTGACAAGTTGCGTGCAGGTGTCATATCTCAGCTACAAACTGAGTTCCCTATGACTGACTTGGGTCTGTTGAGCTATTTTTTGGGTATTGTAGTGACCCGAAAACCCTCTTATTTTCTACTTTCACAGGAAAAGTATGCACAAGAGATTCTAGAGCGTGCATGTATGGCCTCTTGTAAACCTGCAACCACTCCAGTTGACACTAAGTCCAAACTTAGTGCAGATGCAGGGCCACCTTTTCGGGATCCTACTTTGTATCGCAGTTTAGGAGGTGCTCTTCAGTATCTCACTTTCACTAGGCCAAATATTGCATATGCGGTTGACAAGCGCACTTTAGGGCGCGCTTTAGTGCATATTTTAGGATGATTTTGGATGTATTTGGGGCCGCTCTGGCCGATTACTACCTTGTTATGCTTACGTTCCCCATATTACGTGCTTCACGGGTTTTCGGTTTGTTTTTGATGTGTTTTCAGGTAATATCAACCGAGTTTAATCGGATCCCGAGCCCTTGATGCGTAACCGAGCTAGCCTTGACCGGAGTCCGAGGAGTTAAGGAAGTTCGAGTGCCGTGCATTGATTACATAGCACAGGCAGCACGGCCGTGTTACCATAGGCACACCCGTGCTGGCCTATAAGCAAGCAACCCTAGGCAAGGAAGCACGGCCGTGCAAGCCTATAGCACGGCCGTGTCAGTATCCACGTACCAGCACGGCCGTGCAGGCCATTAGCACGGCCGTGCCAGATGTTGCCCGTGCCCGTGTCAGCTTCATTATGAGCCCCGTGCTAGAGCATATTCAGCACGGCCGTGTCATTTTTAGCACGGCCGTGCCAGGAAGCTGCACGGCCATGCCATATATAGCACGGCCGTGCCAATTTGAAGAAGAAACCCGGTTTACTTACTGACAAGCTAGCACGGCCGTGCCAAATACAGCACGGCCGTGCTGATCCAGGGTTAACTGCGCGCTTGACTTCTCCGCATTAAAAGACGTATATAAGACCCAACTTTAAGAGGATTCAAAAGACAGTTTTAGAGATAGTTTTGAGAGCATTTGTAGAGAGTTATTGGAGAACGTTCTTAGTATTAGAGATTCATTAGTTTTCTTAGAGAATTTTCTAGAGATTTTAGTTTTCTTGGATTGATTTGAAGCAAGATTTGCGAAGATTCTTTGTATTATTCATTGACGACGGATATCAAAGTTCTGAACTTTTCCATTGATTCGCATCAATACAATTGGTATTATTCATTCTTGTTTATTAATCAAGCTTTATTATTCCTTAATCAGAATTCATGTTTATATCTATTATGCTTTTGGAATTCATTATTGCTTTGATTATGAATATGTGTGAGTAGTCTCCTAGCTAGGGTTTCGGGATGAAACCCGGCCTAGGTAATCTATGTAATTGAGGATTGATTTTGATAAACGGATTGTGATTAAATTGATTATATGCGATTGCATGTTAATTCATTATAATAGGAGTAGCTAACCTAGAATCTTGAATTTGATTGCATGATATTCTTGATTTGAAAAAGAGATTGTGAATTGAGTATTTCATTATTGAATGTGGTTTGATTATGTATCGAGTAATGTTAAGTGCATGAGAAATCCAAGCTTAGTATTGCCCGTTGTCTTCCTATCACATGATATTGATCAGACTTATAGTCTTTGCATATCCCGTTTGTCTCTGTGATTCCTTGTTGCTTAGTTACCAATGGTTAGGCGGATTCCCGTTCTCCCTAGTGTCTTAGTTTATTGATTTATTCCATCTTATTAGTAGTATTTTAGAACACCATTTTCCATTGATTTCGAACTAGCTTAGGTTTAAGATTGATTTGCAATTACTCTCGTTCCTCGTGGACCGAACCTTTATTTGCCATTGTACTTGGTTATAGGGTGTTCGTATAAGTATTGTTTGATTGAGAGTTAGATTGTAGCGACCGATTTAACCCTTGTCAAAATGGCGCCGTTGCCAGGGAACGGTGTTTGTTAATTGCTTTTTAATTTCTTGAGTCTAGTTCATCATAAAAAAGCACAAAAAGATTTTTCCCTTTTGGCTACACTTGTAGCCCTGCTATTTAATTGGTTCGGTTAGTGTGTATGCGCAGGTCTAAACAGAGAGAATTAATACCCTTCGATCCAGAAATCGAAAGAACTTTGAGGAGCAATCGTAAATCTCGATTGACGTCATCAAACTCTCAAAGAAAGGAACACAACACACAACAGGTTCCAATGGCAGACATACCGCGCCAACCCAA